ATTTTGCACTTTTTTTTTTTTTTTTTGAGAAATGGGAATATTTTCCTAAGTTGGACACTGGAATGGACTTTATCTTGGCCAGTATTGACGACTAGAATGAAAACTGACTGAGCGGACACTTTCAAGTCTCACCAGATTGAGTTCTTTGCAGTGAAATGTTTAAAAGTAAAACTGATTTTGGGGTTTGATTTATTCAGACACGTAACTGACTTGTATCTGGGCTCTCGAGGGCTCAGAGTTTTTTGTTTTCTTCATTTTTTCCTGTGGAATAAGCTGAAAGTGCACTGTATTAGGAGACAGTATTATTTGAGAATAACTACTGACCTGCGGATAATGGGGTCGATTGAATTGGACAATGATTAATAGTCAGTATTAGGACAGGAACCCTGTTTCAAATTGGATAGACTGAAAAATCTTTTTTTGTTTTCTCCATATCCACCCATGTTTGACCTCCATCCACACCTCCCAAAAAGTTTACTGGAAAGGCTGTGTGCCTTTTCCTTTAGGACTTCATGCTACTGGATAACAGACATGCTCATCAATAGAGAAACTTCCTTTTAATGAGATATGACCCTCCCTTTAATGAAATATCAGGACTTCCACGTGTTTGAGGTCAAAACTGTGTTGTTTCCTTGAAATAAATGGACTGTGTTGTGCTGAATTGTGTAACAGTATGCAGAGAACCAGATTGTTTTCCAGATGTGAACCCAATGTGTTGTGTTGTTTAAAAGCAAGAGCTCTCAAGAAGAGTCAGAGATCTCGTCTCTCGCCCTTGTATCTCTCGAGGCTGACTGGAAAAAGAAAGGTGAGCTGCTTAGATCGACATTTAGGCCTTACACGGTTTCAGATCAATACAGAATATTCATCTCCTGTTTCCTGCTCTGTCCCTCGATGGAAAGGAGCTTGATAACAAATTGACAGGATGGTACTGGAAATAGTACTGCAGTTAGTGCTAACTGAAGGTACGCATGGTAAACGCTATCTCCGTCTCATTTTTAACAAAATTCAAAAAAACATATGTACAGATTACTTCAACAAGAACTTGAACCTGTTGTACAAAAAAATAATAATACCAATAATGAAGTGTGATGACTTGAAGTTGTGTGTCAATAACAAGTGAAAAGATCTAATTTTGTTGATGTATGGATGAAGGAAATGAGTATTAGTTGGGACGGGGGAGGGGTGATGTCATCACGCATTGTGAACTGCACATTTTGAATGTAATTTTCAGACTAACTGCTGTTTCTGAAATTGACGTCTAATCCTAATTAAAAAAACAAAAACTCGTGGATAATATTAAAGTGATAATGCCTGAGTTATTAGTCTAGTGTTTATTTTTATTGTTCGTGCGTCGCCATTCATCTCGATATTGCAGGAACTGATTATATGGAATATCGCGGGGAACTATCAACCGTTTCCTCCCTTTTAATACAATGATTTAAAATAAAAAAAATAAATCCTGTTTATTTGAGCAGATTGTGCAGCACTTTTCTGTATTTTTAAACATTTATTCAGTAGCTTCATTAAAACCCTCAAGTAATTAGTTTTGATTCAAATCACCCTTTAGCAAAATATTCATTTCCTTAAAACTTAAATTTATGGTTTTAGGTTAGCTTTATATAACCCACTCTGTTTTTCTAGACCGGAATCTATGAAAAAGTGACATGGAAAATGACAGAATAGTGATTGGGTGGACATCAAATCAAACTCCTACTTGAAACCAGGTGCTGTACAACCTAAAACGAGCAAGACTTTCCAAATGAGAAAACAATTAGCTCATATCCATAATTCATAGCTCTGACCACACTCTGCAGCAGCCAGGGCCCCAGAGGTGTCTGAATTGCACACCATATGCTGCTGTGTGTCTGTGGGGCAGAGGTGCCAGGAAAGCCCCTGGTCTTGTGTGTCCGTGGAGGCCAAAGTGTGGTGAGGAAATCTGATCAAGCCATTATGACCCATAAAACATTCATGACTTTGACTCTTTTCTCTCTCTCTCTCTCTCTCTCTCTCTCTCTCTCTCTCTCTCTCTCTCTCTCTCTCTCTCTCTCTCTCTCTCTCTCTCTCTCTCTCTCTCTCTCTCTCTCTCTCTCTCTCTCTCTCTCTCTCTCTCTCTCTCTCTCTCTCTCTCTCTCTCTCTCTCTCTCTCTCTCTCTCTCTCTCTCTCTCTCTCTCTCTCTCTCTCTCTCTCTCTCTCTCTCTCTCTCTCTCTCTCTCTCTCTCTCTCTCTATGTGTGTCTGTCATTTTCTGTGTTGCAACTTTTTGGCACCTGATCAGTATGAGTGACAGACTCTGACCAAGAGCATGTTTGTGCCTAAAACGTATAAGACTGAAGACTTTCATAAACGATAATTGAGTCTTCTCTGGATTTGCTTCTTCAGGGATCCATTTTCATATCTGCGTTTTGGAGCCCCAACTAAACTGAGTAATTGTGTTCATTAAAACAAACGGGGAAACATTTCACGCATTCGCCGCTCTGTGCAACCGCTATGAAGTGCTGTAAGTTAAACCCCGGCTGAATAAGTCTATCAGATCAAGAGAAAAAGAAGAAATAAGCCAAATTTTCTAATCTTGCGTCAGCAACACAACTTGGAATAATTTGCATGTATGGAGAGAGCGGATTAAATTATGTTATTTGACAGGGTAACTACTTTTATAGGGCTACATATTAATGTAAACTGTTTTTGTGGGCTGTAAATCTGTATGCATGCAGCCTGAATGACATTTATTGGAATGTCCTAGAAGCTGATAAGAATCTGTCTGCTGTTACTTTAAGCTTTAAGTGTAGTAGAATGTGATATGATCAGGGTTCAGGATGCCTCTTGCGCGAAATAATTGACCATTAATGCAAACTTTGCACGGAGATGTAAACCACGCCGGATACAGGGCAAGCATGATGTTGAAATCCATTTCCTCTCCCTAATTGGCTTTTATAAGGCATCTGTGTAAATATTGATGGTACTTTCATGTAAAGTTGTGCTTATTCCTCACTTGAGACACTCCTGAGGCTCCTGTGCTTAAATGCTCCATTTACCGAGTCTTTGCAAATACCATCTCAAGTATCCTTTAAATTAAAATAAACCCCAAATGCACATGGGCATTGGCTAAAGTAATCATAGGAGTACTTCAAATGATATCTGCCCATGCTTTGGTATTAATGAAGTTCGCATGGTTGGACTTGATTGTTTTTGCTTTGGGAAATTCAATGCATTTTAAATAGACGCCTGCTTGCGGGATTTACATAAGGTAATTGCACAAAGCTGGAAATACTGTGTCTGCAATAGGGCCGTTCCTTCGTCTCGTGCACTAATACAATCAACCCCATTAAGTAGGCCGTAAATATGGAGCTGCTGTATCATACGAGCCTGACAGATAATGGACCCCTCTGCATGCCCATTTACTCATCCTGGGTGAAGCCTGATTGGTTTATCCGTACTCCATCATCTGACCCAGCATTAAGAGCTTGTAAATTCTGCAGCAGAGAACACCTGAAGAACCCTGCCTAGAGTTTTATAGAGTGTGTGTGCCAATATGCAAATATGGGTCATTATACAAAATGGGCACCTCTTCCAGAGTGCCAGACAAGAAGTTCCTTTTTTGCAAGATTTAAAAAATTCTGTCTACCAATAAGGAATAATATTTCAGTGTTCACATATGCACTGTGCTATCCATAGATAAATGATTGCTTTGGGAAATGATGCCTTAAAAGTAACAAGACTGTTATTTTCAAGCCTTTTAATGTCAAATTTAATAGTCACAGTGCTTCTTAGAAAATGTAACTGATATTCCTGCAAATAACAAGGAGCAACTGTTTACTAAACAAAATCATAAAAAGAGATTTGAGTTCATTACTTTAACAGTGGAAAGAGCATAAAAGAGCATAAAAATAATGCACAACTATTAAGAAGTATTTTAATAAATGTTAGATAACATAAAGTAAGAAGAAAACAACAAAATGCTAGGTTTTATTTCCATACTTTTGTTCACATGAAAATGTGCATATTTGCTAAAAAGACATTCTACTGAACAAATAAAAAGAATTAAACGTTTCAAATATTATTTAAAGGTATTTATATCATTATTTATTTAAATTATTTATAAAATACGTTTTCTGATGCATTTAGAAAAATTTTCACAGCAGCACAAGTTGGCATCAACTTTTTGTTGTTGAAGATAATTTTTGCACTCTCAGAAAAAAAAGGTAAAAAGTTGTCAAAAGGTACAAGAATGTACCATTTATGTACTGATATGTACTTTTAAGGTACTAATATACATTCTTTAGGGGTAAATAAGGTACAAAGGTGTACCTTTTTCAACAGTACCACCCCAGTGACAGCTTTTGTACCTTTTTTTCTAAGAGTGTACCTTTTTCTATCTTTGTACTTTATTTACTCCTAAATGGTACATATTAGTTCCATAAAGTTACATATTAGCACTTCAAAAACACATTAATATTTTAAAAGTACATATTAGTGCTTATAGTGTCTACATGTTTGTACCTTTTGAAAGGGTACTGCCCCAGTGACAGTTTTATACTGTTTTTCTGAGAGTGTGTGATTTTACAAATGACACATATTTTGTAAAATTACTCATATTTCTATATTCACAAAATTTTTAATAGGACAGAGATGTCTATCTCAAAGAAGCAAAGAGCACTACAGCTTTAAAATTTCACATACATCAGCTCAAACACACCCTGAGTAAAGACAGTGAAACCCTTTAAAGCCAGGCTTGTGAATAAGACTGACAGTAATTTAAAAGCAATGCCCTCTTCACTAGTC